GTCCAAAGGGAAGGTGTTTGATTTGTGACACAGCTTCCATATTACTTCTTTTGGAGTGGGGGGTGTTGCCTTGTGTGCTTAGCCCTGGTATGGGGTGTATGTTTCTACACCTGCACAATCAAGATCTGAGGTAAAGATTACCATCATTTGCACTTACACAGTGCTATTATTGGTGATTAGTTTCTTACCTTGTAGAAACAAGCAGTTACTTCAGCAGCTGTAAAAGGAATCAGGGATTTCTAAGTAGTGTTTCTTCCCAGGAAGATTATCCAGTGTGTGGTCCGACACCCTACTTTAGTGAAACACTTTTTTTAGCTTCTTGTTCTTGTCCAATCAGAATGGGAATTAGCCCACACTTTAAAGGCAGTATGTACTTCTTGTTGGATAATTACTCAAGAAGTTTTACTGACAAGTTCTCTACAGCATATATTTCAGTGTGGTAAATTCCACCCTAGTATGTTGGCAACAGCATAAAACAAATAAGAACCATTAAGTAATGGAGTTTTTCTATTGAAATGTGTATATTTAGTCTCATTTAGAAAACTCTATTTGTATTACTATTCATAAAATAGGAAACCATAATGCTAAGCACAGCAACTGATACTGCAAATCTCTCTCCAAAGCTGGTAAAGTAGTAGAGGTGTCTGTGTAGGGACACCAGTGGTGCTTTCTTTCCCTTCTACACCTGCGCTCTCTTTTGTGTTGTTTGTGAGAAGAAAGATTTTGCATCCATGCAGGCTTGTGCTTGGCTGGAGAGGTCTGCTTAGGCCAACTTTGCTGCAGCACTTGCTTCTCTGCTGAGCCCCAGCTCTGTTCTGCCTTTCCCTGGCTTTTTTGTTCAACATAGCACTTCAGTCTGCACATTTCCATATGATGGTTTTCTGTGTGGGGTTATTCTTCCCTTTCTCTCCCTTCAATATTTCTCTGGTGAAATGGAACCTAACTCTCAAGAGAAGGGGAATCCCTGTTCCTATGTCTTTGTATAACCCAGAACTGGAGACAGACAGTGGGGTTGAGGAGGCAGCTGTCTGGCTCACCCTCTCCCTGCAGCAGGCATGGTGCCTGGCTGTAGTGTGAGCCGAGTTCCCTGTTCCATCCTCTAACCCTGCCACTTTTGCCATCCATAGCTATTGCCAGGCTATAAAACCCAGATGGGTTTCAAGTGACAGATTTCTAGCGCAAGCTGGTGATCTGCCCCTTGGGTGGTGAGTGAGAGTTGTGACTTTGAGCTGGCAGTGAGGGGTCTGAACTGAGGTCACCACTTGGGGACTAGCCTGTGCCTGCATGCTTATACAGAGAGAGGCAGCTCACCCTCCCAAGAGAGGAGCTTTGGTACCCTCCAGGTATGTCCTATTTGTGAATGGAGGGCTCCTGCCAGGACAGAGAATTACTGATCATGGTAAGCATATATTCATTGGTTTTCAGTTTGTTTTGAAAGACTGCTGTGCAAGTGAAGGCTTGTGCCAAGTTTTAGCCTAGTTGTAGTGCCATTTATTACTTGCTCACAATCACTCCACCTCCACATCTTTCTCACCTGTCTACCAAATACTAGCAACCTGACTCACCGTGAGTGAAATAGGTTCCTGAGGAAAAAAAAGCTGGTGTACTCACAGTTCAGGAAAAACTAGTTCAGATACATTCCTTTTCCGTTACAGAAATGCCACAGGCTTGGCTTCTTTTCATTTCTCTTCTGAACAGAGTTGGCTCCTTGGAAATATGCACCTGTTAGGATCAGCTGTTGGCAAATTCCCATCAGTCATAAGGTTTATCATTGCCCAGAAAAAGCTAACAATAACCACACGACAAGGGTGATCCTAGTATAGAGCAAGACCTTGAGGATGTGGCGTCAGGTTCTTGGGGGTAGGGACAAGTTAATTTAGGGTGAAGGAGGGGTCAGCTTTTTAAATAGCTTGACTCTGCCTCTTGCTTTGTGACCCTACATTGTTGAGGCAGGGTCCAGGGATGTCCAAGTCTTCACCCACCATGAGGTACAAACTTTATATAAGAAAACCAGTTATTTTAAGTGTTGCAATGATAGGGCCAAAGGAGCAAAGGGTTAGAGAACTAAATGAGAGGGTTGCAACTCCCAAAACCCTGCTCCCTAAGGTTTACCTCTGACCATTCAATTATGTGACAAAACTCCTTAATGAAGAGAGGCTGAGAGAACAGGGGTTTTTTTTCTCCTAAAAAACAAACTGTTGCCAGGCCTTCTCTGTCAAAAACCTTTTAGGGATCATGATTCATGCAGTTTGTGTTCTAGCCCTCACAGACGTGCTTCCAAAATGTGTTATTTTGTATGCAGTTGCTTTTACAAATAAATAGGTAATTTTTATTAATTGTTGGGAGAACTATGCCTGGGCATTGCCCTGGCATGTGTGTCCATGCATGCACACAAACACACAGATCATTTCTCACCTGTGCAGATTGCTGAATACAAGGTTTGCCCCAGGCTCCCACATGATGATGTGTCTTGATCTCACATTACCCAGAATTTTCATTTCTTCAGCATACTTCTGTGACTGAGACCTTGCAGTCATGGCCACAGCCCTCAAGGCCCTCCTACTATGCCAAAGTCACAAAGTCAGAAGGTAAAAAAAGCAGGGAGACCAGTGAACTGGTTTGGTTTTCAACTGCAGGACTGTTGTCTTTCTAAGCAGATTGCTCCAAAGCAAAGGAAAAACAAAGTCAAAGGAGGAAGAGAGCACTTTCTCTTCCAATGTTAAAGCCTAATGAATTGCCATACGTTGGCCTGTTTTCCCAGAGTGCCTAATAACAGCTATCAGCAGAACAGCTGGATTGCTAAATCCTGAGTGTTTTCATTCCTTGCAGCAAGCTTGTTGAGAGGAACTTTACATCTTTGCAGTACTCTGGCCAAAGGCACTTTGCTCTATTTGTCCTTTTTGCTGTCCTGCTTCCAATCTGCCCCTCCTGTGGTTTTCTATAACACTGGAATGTCCATGCTGTCCCTTCAGTAAGACTGAAAGATGAAAGAGAAGAAAAACTGGCAACAGCCCTAGCTGAACAGAATGGGGAACTGGCTGCTGTGGCATGTTTAGCTGCATGAGGGGAGGAGCAGCCGTTTTGGTCTTTTTTTGCTCTTAGCCAGAATGCTGTCTATAAAACTGACCATCTTTGCATGAGACCTAAGATTCTACATTCTGAATGCAGTGAGGCAATTGTCATGGCAAGGGCTGTTACAGTACAGCCTGTGAGTCACAATCTGTCTTTGGTACAGGGATTACTGAGCTAGACCTGCCCCAGTCCAAGGAGCATGGCAGGCGTCCTAAGGAGCTCCTGTCCTAGTTTAGTGGTGGATCAGCCATTTCCTTCATCCTGTCTCTACCCAATGGTAAAGAGCAGGGCATTCATAACAGTGTGTATTTGTGCTCTGATTGAGGGCTACAAAGTTGGTGACTAATATGTAGCACTGGGATTTTCCAGCTACTGTTTCCCCAGCTCTTAGAAATGGGGAAATTCACTATAAGCTGAAGGGTTTGAGGTTGACTGCTTCTCCCCAGCTCAGCTACTGCTGGTTTCACTTGCAATGAGCCACCCACACAACAAGAATTATAATGAGGTGAGAAAGCACTGGACGGTGTTATGGGGGTAGAATTTCCATGCCTGGGTCAGCCTTATAACCAATCCCCAGTTCTTGTTTTGATGCCCTAGGGAGTTTCTGTGAGAACCAGATGTGCATTGGCCATGGCTGGCCATGGAGCCAGTGCCTGTGGTAAACAGCCAGCTGAGGTCTGGAGGAGCTGGCTTGTACTGTGCTGCAAATGCTGACCAGTGCACATGTCTGGCAGGCCCTGGGCTTGAAGTTTATGCAGGGCAGTTCACTGTTGGGTGGTCTTCCCTCTCCACTACCTGGCTGAGATGCTTCAGAAACACATAGAATGCTCCTCCACAACATTACGGGGGGGAATGAAGCCATGAAATGCCTTGTTTCTTCTACTACAGCAGGAATTAGGATATACAGTTTGGCCTGTGCTATTTCACAGCCTCATTCTGAGCTGTGCTGTGCCCCTGCAACAGACACTCTTGTTCAGAAGTATTAGGAAGTCTTCCCACTTCTGGTCAAGCTGTCTTTGCTGTTCTTACAACTTAAAAACCTCTGGCTCTGCTCCTATATTGGGTTTGTGTAGCAAGATTTTATAGTGGAGGGGGGGCTACATGGGTGGCTTTTCTGAGAAGCCACTCCCTTCCTGCCTTTTCTCCTAAAGACACATCACATTGCTGCCAGTGACATGGGAAGTCACCAAATGTGTTAGGACTGCATGTTCTGTGGTTTACAGATGCAGCTGGCCACCCTCCCTGCAGCTTGCTGTGTGAAGCCTTTGCTTTGCACATGCTGCCAAAGCCAGAGGCTGAAGACAGCTGGTGTTTTTCACCCTGTGACAGGTGCCCGAAGCTGCTTAAGTCACACTCCATTGCTGCACCAGTCCCAAGTGTGGAAGAGCTGCAGCCAGGCAGGATAGGTGGGACATGCTGATTTTTGACAGCTGTGGTAAAACAGAGCTCCATGAGATGCAGATGAGAATCTTGCCATAAACAGCTGTGTGCCAGGGGTAGAGTTCTGGTCTTGGTGCATCCCCAGTGGCAGATCTGGGAACAAGGTGATCGATGTTGCCTTTAGGGGGTCAGTTTCTGCCAACCTGTATGGAAGGCGCAGGGAGTTCTGCCAGCACTGCTAGCTCAGGTGAGCACTGTGGGAATGCATGAGTCTTGCTGACCTTGTGCAGAGGTGCTCTGGGCATGCTTTGCATGGTGCAGCTGCGGATGTTGGGTTCGAGCCTGAGCAGAGCTGTAGGTTTCTGTTCCAGATGGTCAGGGTGAGTTCACAAGCACAGTCATTCCTGTTTCTCTTTACCAGCATGTGTTGGGTGATTTCCTAAGAGAAGATTCAAGCCTCTGTGCAATCTCCTCCATGTGAGCAAGACGTACATAGCCACAGCTCTGTGAAGGTAAGCTCTTTTCCCCTGCTAGAGCCAAAGTGATGTCCTCTTACTACAGCATTCATGCAGTATGGGCTCAGACTTGATGGATATTGGGGAAAACAAGAGGCTGACCCCAGTGTTGATGGCTACAGATAACTGGCAAAGGCAGACGGGAGGAAGGAGGGCAGGATGCTGGGCTCTGCAGGTGACATTCAGTATTCCTCAGACTGAAAGAAATGCACTCCTCCCTCCCCTGCAGCATCCTGTGTCAGCTCACAGCCACCACCTGTGGAGCTTCGGTGTTTTTCAACCTGCTGCTTTGCTGACTAACACCTCTGCTTTCTGCCTGGCTCATTCATATTTTAGCTTGTTTCCTGAGCTTTGAGGTGGTTTCTTCTATTGCTTTCCCTTCCAGCAGAGCACTGTTACTCATGTCTCAGCTGTTCTCCTGCCATTTTTCACTTATTTGTATTGTAATGTATGATTATCTTCCTACTAAATGTCACCAGCCAGTAATGGTGCCTTTGATTCTAAGGTTATGCCATGTCTGTATCTTTGACGCTGCTGGGGATATTGGTTTAATTCTGTTATGACAGGAAGAAAGTACAGAGGTAGTACTGTTTCTGTGGAGTTTTTTCTCTTTTTCGTCAAATCATGAACCTGATAACTCTGAGCATGACTGGTTTTATATTCTAGAGAAAGGAACTGTCAGCTCTGAATGTTGCTTTTTCAATGATTTATCTTGCTGATAAATACGTAATGATGTTGTCCTTCTTCCAGTGATGGCAAAATGGTTTTGGGTCATGAATAACACAATCTACCCAGCCTTCCCTTGTGTGCCCTTCACACTTGCTTCTTGGTGAATATTACCACTGCAGGCTAGGCTGAAATTACACTTTTTATGAGTTAAATTTGAGGAAAACAGGCCTTTTGGTGCAATATGTTTAAATTTATAAAGCCTTTGGCCTTACAGTTCTACCAGTGTTCCTGTTTTTAAAATTAGCTCTGTAATATCAAATGCATATTATTGCATGGTTTAAAAGTACTGTGGCTTGTGACTGCCAGACTATCACTCTTTGGAGTGATCACACATGCTGCTCTTTCCCTCCCTCCTGCACAAATAACAATATTGGCACACATTGGAGAGTCCTGTGTAATCAGGGGGCAAAAGCTACACCACTGTCCTGGTGTGCTATCCTCATAACAGAAAGATATTACTAAGAGCCTGGGAAATTTCTGACTTAGCCACTCAGCCTCATTAACCCTGTACTGTCCCACACTGCACCCAAGAGAGGTGGCAATCTCCACAACCCACAGGTACCAGCAGCTGAGACAAGTCTTTTCTAGAAGCTTGGCCCTGACATTGTGCCTGTAAGTGATCCACAAAGCCTGCAGAAGGGAGAGCTGGTCTTTCACAGAGGCTGCTCCAAACACAGTGAGGAGCAGCTTCTGGATTAAGTCATGTGACCTTCTCCATGCATGTTCTAACAGTGTACAACCAGCTCAGTTACCAGCAACTACCTGGCAAGCATGGTCAAGAGCCACCTGCCCTGACCTGAACATTCCAAAACATCTGTTTTTCAAAGAGTGAGTCAGAGGTATGGAGGGCTTAACATGGAGCTCCCTCATCCTGCACTCTGCTGCTTTGTGCCAACTTCACTGCTGCAGTCTTCTTGGGTTATTACAGCTCCTTGTTCTTGCTCCTAGCTCCTCCTACCTCCACACTGTGTTGTGTGTGCCAAATCCCTCCATAGTGCTGCTCATTTCCCTCTTGTCCAAGAATACAGTGAGTGTGCATGGGTTCCTTGAAGCCCCTTTAAAGGCATGATAAGTGAGTTGATGGACCCTCCCTCAGTGTCAACCTTGCAATCTAGAGACCTGGCCCAGACACAGGTCACAGGCCCTCACCTTGTAGGAGCCAGGTGACCTCCCTGCCTGTGATCTAAGGACTGGTGCTCTTGCCCTGATCCTGGGACCATTTTGGGAATGGATGGAAGCAGAACACAGTGGTATTTGACTGTCTCCAATGTGGCACATGCTGTACTATGTAGTTTGGATTAGCCCTTTAATACCTTGACACTGATGCCTCCTCACTGCACAAGTCTAAGCCCCACTATGACCTTTTAAATATGAGGCTTGTGAGTTTTTATCAGTTCTCCCACCCTTTTCTCACGTAAGAAAGCAGAGCAGTACAGTAATAAATGTTGTGTGGGTGTTTGGACATGAATTCATCACCTCCTCTCACCACATCCTTCTGTTGGCACAGTAATACTGATACAGTGGTGACGTCAATCTCCACTTATCGCCGTGTATTCCAATACACCACGGCCCTTGGTTGTGCACAAGTAGGCTTTGCTCTTACTCTGTGCTAAGGAGACCCACCTGCTCCTCAGCTCCCCAGGTGGGGTTTGCAATTGCAGTAATGATTTAGCCAGGCTGGTCATGGAAGTGTTGGAGGGCTGAGATGTACAGAACAGGGCAGGTAATATCCATGTTTCCATCACTTTTCCCTGCTGCCAGTTTGTCCTGCTTGATGTTGCAACTTCACTGTATATCTTTCTTATAGCTGATGTGGCCCTTGTGCCCCAGCTGTCATTGCTCTTACTCTCTGGACAATCAGAGCACCCCTTTGTCTCCCTGTTGCTTCAGCTTTCTGATCAGATGGCAGTGTACATTGATAATGATTTTTTTCTCAAGAAGAAAGCTTATTTGGGCATATAATTGGTGGACTGTATCTTCCACTCTTTTTTTGCTTGGGTGCAAAAAATTCATTTCCTCATGCTTGGAAATATTTTTCCCTTTTTTTTACTTAAACTGAGCTCTTAATTAGTTTTTATCTGGGATTTGATGGGGGGTTTTTTTGTTTTGGTTTGGTTTTTTTGTTTGTTTGTTTTTTGGGGATTTTTTTCTGGTGGATTTTTTTTGTTTCTTCTTTTGTTTTTGGTTGGGGTTTTTGTGTGTGTGTGTGTTTTGTTGTTGTTTTGGGGTTTTGGGGTGTTTTTTTTGTTTTGTTTTTTAAGTACATACATTTCCTGAAAACAGTTCAAACTGTGAGCTTAGACTGCATCAATGTTTGGCAGCTTATAGCATCATATTTCCAGATCCTTAACAAAAATAATCTTCATAAAGGTCTGTCTGTATTGGTCCTATTTCCTATTCTCTGGTATATTAAAAACTTGTAGCAACATGTACATGTGTATATTATGAATGGCTACTCAGCTTTATTGCTGTGATCTCATAGGGATATTACAGAGTTTGCAGATGTGGTACTTGGCAGCTGTACAATGCTTGACATTTTATAACAAGGGTCTGCGTTGCAAGGATGTGTGAAGCTGATTCTGAGTCCCCATTTCACAGACCAAGAAAATGAAATGAGGCAGTAGAAAGGACTTTTCTAATGCCAGACTGGGAATAAGTTCCTGCCTCTGCTCATTGCCCACTGTCATTCTTTCCTCCGGGTTAACAATCACATGCTGACAGATAGAAGAGATGGGAAGGGTGTAACAAATGGAGGGATGCAGGAAAGGTGGGGGGTCCAAATAATAGACTGGGATTGAAGCTTGCAGGGGGCCTGACTGGAGCATGCTTCAGAATTAGGGCTGCTCTACGTCTCCATTGAAGTCATGAGGTCTTTGGCATCAAACACCACGAAGATGCTGCTGCAGAGCTGCAGCTTTCCCAGCTCTTCTGCACATGTCTTGTCTGTCCATGTCTTGTCATAACAATCTGGAGCACAGCCAGGAGGTCAGACAGTTTCAGCCGTACTGAAACTGTCTGTGGTGCTCTTAGAGGTCATAGTCCTTTCCTACTACACTGAGGTAGGGAAATAGAAGGAGATAAATGTTGGACTAATCTGTGGGCACTGGCAAGGGTAAGAGATGGGACAGTGGCATCCCAGCTGAGGAAGTATTGTCTCTTTGTTTCAGCTATTTTAGCAGATCCTACTGTTTTTCTTTTTTGCTACTGTGCTGCTCTTCATGAATCTTCCCTCTAGATTACAAGGCTATGTGCTAGCCTCTCCCCATTGTGTAATGGCAGTCCCTGGTAACTCTGTAAGACACCTACTCAATGAGCTATTTGGGCTCCTTGTTTTGACTTTTTCCAGTTCAGTCCTGCCTGTCCCTTCTGGTTGATGGTGCCATTCTCTGAGCAGAGACAGAAAAGTAGTGTAGGCCCTTGAAAGAAGCCACAGTCCAATAAGTAAAAGCAGCAAAGACTTTCCTTGCATTGGTCTGTTCATTTAGTCAGGAATAGGCATAAAATCAGGGAGTTACTGCAATATTGTGAATACAAAGCGTCAGAGGCCCTGCCAGTTGGATTCTGAAATAAGTGGTGGGTCTGCAGATCTCTCTGAGGGCCCAGCTTTTCCCTTTCCCTTTTCTTTCCTTTTTCTTTCACAAATTGCCTTCCTTTGTTTTCCATGGTTGCCAAGAGTGTGGAGCATGACAGTCACAATACTAAGTGATGCTGAGATGGGCTCATGGTGCAGCCAGTCTCAGCATGAAGTCAGCTGAGCAGGTTTCAGATAGGATGACAGCAAGCCTTCCTCAAAGGAATGAGGATTTGCAGAAGAGCCATTGAAGATGGGTTTTATCACAAGGTGGAGTTAGACAGTGGACTGTATCTCAGTGACTAGGGACTGCACCACCAGAAGTAGTGGTAATGACAGGAGTTATTATGCAAAGAAAACTTGGAGAGCTTGGACCAGAGTGGTCAAGAAAAGGTGTTTACACAAGGCAATGTGTGATGCAGAAAGAAGGGCTGGAGTACGAAGGTAGAGAGTTTGCCCTGCCACTGGCAACAGGTGAGGGAGGATGGCAGGGTGCCTGGGGCTCCTTGCTGAGCTGGAACAGTGCTTCATGGGCCGGGTTTGTTTGGCAGGAAAGAAGGGGCAGAAGCTGCATCCTTGCTTCCAGGAGGGAGCACACAGCAGGGTGTGACATAGTGTGTCTGTGGCACCTCCAGAGCGAGTCTTGTTAGTCTCACCTGGGCATTGACACCCTGAGAGCATGTCTGTGTGCTCACATGAGGCTGCAGGGGCTTTCTGGTGGCTGCTAAATTTGTTTTGCTTTCATTATTTGAGTAAACCTGGGAAATTTTTAAACTCCACAAATGTTCCTCAAGTCTTAAAGGCTTCATGAGTTTCTCTCTTCTGGGTGATTGCCTGGGTATTTGTTGCTTGTGTTGGATGCTGCATAGGCACGCCAGGACCTGAATACCTTGAACCCCCCATATGAATACAGGCTGAGGGACAAACAGATTGACACCAGCTCTGCTGACAAGGATCTTGGGGCAGTGGTGGAATAAAAGCTGGCCATAAGCAGGCCATATATGCTGGTAGCCCAGAAACTCCTGTCTTGGGGTTCTTCCCCAGCAGTATGGGCAACTGATAGAGGGAGGAGATTTTTCCCCTCTGTTCTGCTTTCTTGAGACCCTACCTGGTGTTCTGCCTTCAGGTCTGGGACCCCCAATGTGACAAGCATGTAGAACTGCTGTGTTCAGTCCAGGGGAGGCCACAGAAATGCTTCAAGGGCTGAAGCATGTCTGCTATGTATGACAGGCTGAGAGAGTTGGGCTCGTTCAGCCTGGAGAAGAGCAGGCTCTGAGGAGACCTTACTGCAACATGTAAGAAAGATAAGGACAGGCTTTTTAGCAGAGTCTGTTGCAACAGGACAAAGGGTGATGTGTTTTTTTAAATCAAAAGGGTAGATCAGACTATGTGGCATGGCATATGGGCCCTTCCTGCTGTCTGTGCATCCTTGCAACTTGCTTTCAATGAAACTATGTCACCAAAATAATACACATTGCTTATCCAAAGTTTTGTCCCATTTGAGAGCAGCTTGAGAAAACAGTGCTGAAGTGTGTACCAGGTATCAACAGCCAATACTCTGCAGAGAGCACATTTTGAGTCTTTCTATGCACATCCATGTATTTCTATAAATATTTAATTGTTGTGAAATCACAGCCTTAAATACATTATATGACCTGAGGGCTTTGTCTTGGAGCAGGGGCTGTGGGTTGAACAGTCATTTGTATGTGATGCTATTTCCTCTGTTTTAAACATCCTGCTGTCATCTTCTCTGAAGACTTTCTTGCAAGTTCTCTTCCCTATACCATCTGGGCAGCCTTTCCCTGCAGTCAGTACTGTACATTGTTCTCTTGGATGCTATATGAGAGGCTGGGTGGTTTTTTTCTTCTTTTCTTTTTCCTCTGGTCTGTCTTTCTGGAGTCCCTTAACTAGATATTTCATGCTTATTTAACTATAGGTAGGCCAAATCAATGAGTTCTCACCAGCTTTCCTCACACAGACCCACAATGACATTCAGACTCCATTTGGCTAATTCATTGCATAGCTGTTTAATCTGCAGCAGTGTCACTTCTAGTGGCAAGCCATTCCTAGTTGCAAGATACCAATGAAGAAAAAATGGGTTAGCAATTAACCCAAGAGTCTTTCTTGTTGCCTGGATAGCCAGAGCTGCGGTTACTTTGCTGCTTTCTCTGTGCATGTGCTAGCAAGGAGCAAAGATTTCACTGACCTCGCTTATGGCAAGTTGGCAGGCTGTTGGTCCTACCCCCCTAGCACATGGAAAGGAGCAGGAGAGCTGAAATTAATTGTCTAAATAAGGCACTCTACTTTTAGATGTTTAAATGAAAGCAAGATTAATTCCACCTCAACCTTAATCAAGTTAATGTCCAAGCAGAGCTCTAAATTGGTCGTGGGAGTCTTGTGTGTGTTTTTTTTGTTTTGTTTTGTTTTTTTCTTCCCCAGGATATCCAGTGAGAACTACCATGAAGAACAAACTGTGGCTCCAGAATATTTTCTTCTGCCTTTTATTTCAGTACAGTAAGTCCTCAGATATTTCTTTCAGGTTGTGCAACCACAGGATTTATCTTAGTGACCATATGTACCAGCTCTGATGAGATGTGCATGGCACAAGGTTGCCATGGGACAGCAAGCACGAGATGAGGTCCCAGGGGAGAGAGTTCCATGCAGTAATGAGTGGAGGACAGCACAGGAAGGTGCACAGCTGGGCCGAGTTCAGCCAGGCTGTATACAGCTCTGGGGAGCAGCACCAGTGGAGAGCCTGCAGAGGCAGTACCTGCCTTGCACTGAAATGTCTCCTAGTGACATTAAAGTAGGATTCCCCCCACCAAAAATACCCTTTGCTGTAGAAAAGGTTCTGATGGCCAAGACCAGGATATCCCCAGGGTTGCTGTTGGCTGGTCAGCCAGGGTCAGTGTAGTGAACCTCTCCTAGTCTGAGTCTCTTTGTTTAGGACTGGACTGTGCATACAGTCACACACTCCACACGCCCCCTCCCCCTTTTTTCTGGCTCCTACCCACACTGCAATCTCCAGCTGACTCATAGCTGACTTTCTGAACAGATCAGCCAGACAGAAAAAGGCAGTGACAACCATGTCTGCAGGGAACCATGCAAGTTTAGTATTTTACCTGCTGCTTGTAGGCAGAGCATTGGACCTGCCCCAGACCTAAATAAAGAGAAAAGATGCATTCAGAATTATATCTTTCTGTCATAGGGGACCACTGTGATGTCTGGTCCGAATTTTGTGTGATGCAAGCCAGGGAATTACCGTGTACTAATTTCAGTTTGGATCAATCTAGATCTTACTGTTAAAAGTATTCAAGTTTTTGTTTCTAAAGCTGCCAAGGAGAGACATTTCATCCTAGATCTAACTAATTGGTTTTAGGACACTTAATTATTCCTTTGCCAGTAAAAAGCTGTCCTCTTAATTTTGTTAACAGATTCTTGCCCAAAGATACCCTTGCAACTTACCAGCTACCTAGGAATAGTGGCCTGTCTACCAAGGAATAATAATCTGTTTGACTAATTAGCACAATAGCATAGAAGAACACTAATTACTGATGCTTAATAGCCTATTAATACTTGCTGCCCTTTCTAAAGGAATGCAAGAGATTCCTAACCCAATTCTTTTCTAGGAGAATAAAGTTAGGCTAAAAGAGAAAAAGTACATTGCTCAGAATTCTGAACTAAACAGTGCTTGGTCCAGGATCCTCAGAAGAGTCTATTGAGGGTTCAAAATAAAACGTGAGAACTTAATGAAAATTTTAGAAAGAATTCTGAAGATGATGTGAAATTAAAAAGTCAAAATAGAAGTTAAAAAAAATCATATGTTCATCTTTTGGACCAATCTGTTCCAAACATGCCCAAATTTATTCTGCCACCATCCTAAACCTTTGGGTTAAGGAGGATTTTGTATGCAAATCTGAGTGCTGCCCCGAGCTTGTGTAGGGAGAGTAGTGTGTGCTCTGATATGTAAGGACTAGGAAGTAAATGTTGTGATGGGTGACTTCAGCAGGGAAAAGTTGGACTTTGTTTTCCTCTGGACTAACCCCTCCCAAGAAGGAGGCTGCACCCTCCGCTGGACACACCTGCAACTTGTTGTGACTGTAAATGCAGACAGCTTGTTTGTGTGGGCAGCCATTTAATCTGAAGGGAGAAACAGATGTTTCTGGTCCATCATTGCACACACTGTCTGCATTCCATGGTGGTTCTCTGCATACAGCTTCAGCTGTAAGATTGGGCATTGGGGTTGTTGAACATATCACACTTGCAAACAACACTCTGGACTTAAGCATGTTGCAACAGAGGAGGAGGAAGCAGGGAGTGCAGCTTCTCTAACCAAGAAAGCAGCAGAAGAACAAAGGGAAGTGAGCTTGCAGCGTGGTTAGTATCAAAGGGTTTGGTTGCCTGATGGCTGCAGAGTAGTATGTTCTCAGGAGGCTGGGAGCAGCCTTTACCTTTCATTAAGATTAAAATTAAGCATTAAGATTAAATTAAGCATGTGTCCTCCCCTTTACGGTAGGGGAGGACACATGCTTAATTTAAGCATGGATGTAACAATCTTGAGTCTTTTCCTAGATGATGACCATTTTATTCCCATTGAAAATGGGTAATACTTTACGTGTCAGAAATGACTGTCACTGCAGTAGGCATGGTTTGAACCAGCATGGCATGCTGCATCACCTGCAGGCCTTTCCTCATTCAGTCTTTCCTAGTGTAATGGTGGTGGTTCTTGTCAGCCCAGGGAGCTGACAGGAGGGGACTTGTCAATGCAGACATTTCTCACTGTGCTACTATCTTACCTGCCTTGAAATCCAGGGAGATAAGTGTGTTATGTACGGAACAATTGTACTTTTATAAAGCACGTACTGGATATTGCTCTGTGAGCAGAGCTCCTGAAGAACAAGTAGAAGAGTATAAATGCTGCTTTGTGACCACTTTCAAAATATTACTTGATTTTCCTAATACCAGTGTAAGTTCTACAATTGCATTTCAAGTTCTCTTGAGAAGTCTGTAATTAATAAATTGTGCTTATCAGAATGTTTTATAGAAATTATAGTAACAGCAAAAAACTGCAGTATTTTTTATTCCCAAATTTAATTTAAAACATACTTCAAGGCTCTAGAGCTGCACATAAAAATTATTGATACTGTAGATATCAAGCTTTAGAAAACAGAAAAGAGAATGGCAAAGAAAAATTACTAAAATAGCACTTGAAAAAAATGTGTAAAGTGCTATGTAGATGTACAATGAAAACTAGACTAGCAATGAACAGTACCCAATTTTTTGGTATCATTAAAATGTTTGAATATGCTACTGTTTCTCACTGGGTTTCGGGCCTCTTCTCTGTGCCATATAAGCTAAGATTCTTGCAGAAATATGTGACTGTGCTGTAGTGATTCTATGAGAGTCACAATTTGGACATTTCCTGATTTTGGCTGCCACGGCATTTTTAATAGGTTTTTGTTTGACACTTATCTTGGCGTCAGTGACTTGTCACCCTGTCGAGTTGGAACACATCTTATGCCCCAAAACTGGAGACTTTCAGTGAGAGGGAGGGTGGTTGTCAGAGACTGGTCTGTTCTCTCCAGATTTAGTGGGAACCCTGAGGAGTGCATATGTTGATTTGTCACAGAAGTTGATATTGTGTTTTCTCTTTCCAAACCTACAGCTATGTGTTGTGAAAACCTCACTTGTTTTGTGGACTATGTACAGACCCTGTCCTGTATCCTGCGAGATGAGCTGGGTGCCGGTTCATACAATGTCACTGCTACATGGTATGTCTTGGTGGGATGAGCAAAGTCCAGTTAGCAGGAGCTTCTACATGGCCATAGCACAGTGGCGACCTTCTGTCCTCCTTGCTAGGTAGAAATCCTGGTTTTGCTACTATGCTGTTTTTTACTTGGTATTTTGCACTCCAGTTACAAACTAACTTCTTCCCTAGCAAAGGACCCCTGGTTCCTGTCTCCACTGACTGTGCTTCTTGCTGCTGACTGCTATGCTGACTCCAGCTTCCTTAGCATTGCCTTCTCTGCTGCCGTGGGAATACCTTGCCCTTTGTTGCTGTTAAAAGTGAAATTTCACCCCTGTGCATTGGTGGGGCTCATGTAGATTGTCCAGTCTGCTGCTGTTCTGCCCCAGTAAGGAAGTGGATGTAGTCTTGGGCAGTGTAGGCCTGAGGAGCACCTTTCCTTTCCAGAAACACTTTCCTATTTCTCTCAGAGATTATAAGCTGAGCAAGTAGAAGGGGGAAAAATATCTGTTGACATTCAAAGATAATTTTTTATTTGAACATGTTGATTTTTCATTTTAATAATAATATAATAATTTCATTTTAATAATTTCCTGGTGCCTGGTGGTTCAGCAACAAATTAATCCAACTACAGCATGTGATATATGCAGACCTCTTTGTTTTGTCTTTTTTAGGGTTCCTGGGGAAGATACAGAAAATACTGTGGCTGCCTGCACTCTCGTGCAATTGTCAAGAAACACCAGTCACATCCAGTACATGTGCACTGTGGATATGACTGAACTCCTGGCAGATACCAAAGTCCAGGTGGATGTTATAGAGGTAGCTGATAGGCAGCCCGTGCTTTCCAAAGACTTTTATTTGTCAGACAACAGTAAGTACAAAAATGGTGAATTCCATAAATACTGTTTGACTTTATGTGCTAGGATAGTCTGGACAAGGAGTGAGCAAGCAGTGTGGGGCTACATTTGCTGTACACTCATCTACATAAAGCACTGTGTTCTTATTATTGCTATTATGCTTGAGGCTGAGCTTTGAGCTGGCTTGGTCCATGCTTTTTGTGTGGAAATTCCTTTTCCTCATGAAGCAGTAGGTGATAAATATCCACCTTAGACCAGTCTCATACCTAGGCTATGCAAGAGCTTGTTCTTGGCTGGATTCTAAAGGGCAGGAGGAATTACTTTATAACAAATATCACAAATCACAGAAACCTTAAAATGGTTTGGGTTGGAAGGGACCTTAAAGATCCTTCAGCTCAACTCCCTGCCATGGGCAGAGACACCTCTCACCAGACCAGGTTGCTCCAAGCCCCATCCAACCTGGTCTTGGACACTTCCAGGGGTGGAGCAGCCACAGCTTTTCTGAGCAACCTCTGCTAGTTCCTCACCACCCTCACAGGCAAGAATATCTCTCTGATATCCCACCTAACCCTGTTCTCTGTCAGTATGAATCCATTCCCCCTTGTCCTATCACTACATGCCCTTGTCAAAAGTCTTTCTCCAGGTCTCTTGTAATATCCAAGGAGCTGGAGGCTCCCAAAAGGCTTTTGCAGTGAGCACCTGAACCAACACGGCTTTATTTTGGGTGGCACAAGGTGTCCCAGAGGTACTGGATGTGGCAGTTTCCCTTTCTGGAGCAATTCCTAATAATTTCTCCTGCATGGCACAAAGAGTGAATACAATCCTGTAGCTGACTTGGTGGAATGCTGGTATGTTCTGGGCTGTGTATCAAACTGAAAAAAAAGGAGTGGTTAGCCAGGCAGATGGGTACCATGCAGATGTAGGAAAAGGATTTTTCTATTTGGCTTCTTCTGAAACTTTACTTGACAAGTGTCATCTTTTTGACAAATGCCTTAACATTTCAGGAAGCCTCCTGGCTGCCACTTACAGACTAGAGATTGGGTAGTGGTGCTTTGTATATCTCCGAAAGGCCCTCATTCAAAGGCATCACAGCTCAGTGATGGGCCCTGCAGACTGCTGGAGTTCTGCATTACTGCTTTTTCAACGTATGAACACTCTCTGCAGGGATACAAAAGCATGCTTTTTGAGCAGATGGGATGTGGAGTTGCAGTGGGTTTATGCAGGGTCCCCTAGCCTCAGCTTTTCCTCATGACTCTGTTACATTGAGGGGTATTTCCCCAATCTTGTGAATAATCATGACTACACAGAGTTCTTTTATGTCATGAGAAGAACAAGGTGTTCTACATTTTACATAATCTCCTGGGAATTTATTATCTCTGTGTACTATCTTGCCTTCTCCATAGGCAATGAGGAGATTCAGAGACAAGCAGAAAATATATTCAGAGAAATGTGGTCTGGACTTCATTATATTCCTCACATGTGGGATTCTGTGCATGGCTGAGGACAGGAATGCTGTGGATGTTCTCTAGTCCACTGCGAGGGCAGCTTTGTTCTCTTCTCACTCTGCATTGCTGATACCATGTCGGGCCATCTCTTAACTGTAGTAATCTTAATGAAAGGTAACACTATCCTGTCTTTCAGTAAAACCACAGCCTCCATTCAACCTGACCGCTTTGTTCTCAGAGGGTTACAATATTTCTTGGGAAACTATCTACCAGAACTCTTCCTTCTACTTTTTGAATGAGGAGCTGGAATATCAGCTGCGTTACAAAAGAATAACTGACACCTGGGAGGTAAGTGAGATGTCAGTTTACCGTCAAGTAGGGTGTACCAGAAAAGAGGAGGCCAGCACACCTAGGACGGTAGCACTGGTGGGAAAGAAGGGTTTTCATGGTTTAGAAAAAATGTCTCTCTGCTTGACTGGACTGAAAAAAAGGCAAACCCAAAAATTAATTGAGAAGCGGAAGCTGTGTGAGAAGTATTAGATCCTGTGACGAAGGCTGGTAACTCATTTGATTCTCATGCTGTCCTGCCTGGCAGGCTCCCCTAGGACTACATGCAGCTGCTGACCAGTCAGAGCATGGCCTTGCAGAAATAACATGAAAGGAGAAGAGCTTACTTTGCAGGCATCCTCACTGTGCAGCAGTGCAAGCAAAGTAAGAGCAATCACTCTAGTGTTTGGTATTTAATAATTTACAGACTCAGAAGACCAAAGCTGTTCACGAAGATAAACGGACATTGGTGATCCTGCCATGGGAACTACAGGCGAACACTGAGTACGAGTTCCAAGTGAGAGCTAGACCCCGTGAAGACAGTGGCTATGGTGGTTTTTGGAGTGAATGGAGTTCTCCACTGTCACTGAAAACCAGCCCTGCCGGTACATGCTGCCATATCTCTTTGCCCTTTCCAGTCCAGTGTCAGGGAATGCTTTCAGAAATTTAATAAAATCTAATTCATTAGAACAAATTTTAAGCAGTCCAGTGAAGACAGGTATGGTTAGTTTCTTTACTGGTTATGTGAACCCCAAGCCTGGGCTGTCAGTATTGACGTTCTCACTGTGCTGCAAAAGAAGGGTGTTTGGTGGACTTGGCTGTACATTTGGATGCTACTTGCAGAAATGCAGCCTCTAGCTTCCTTTTCAGTGTCAAATGTCCAGAGTCCTATTTGGAGCTTTCAGAAATGGGGGAGATCTCCTCTACTGGGTCTTAGTGTTGTCTTCAGCTGAGGGGAGGGGCATCCTGCTCTCAAAACTGAGTTCTGTGTCTGGACTGGGATGTTGGGTCATGCTGGGCATGGATGTTTTGTTTGGTAGCCACCACTCTGCAATACTCTGCAGGGAGTTCACAGTATACAGAAGTACACTGATGCACATCATGGTGGAACAGAGGCTGTGAAAATAAGGAGTCTTTGCTCCAATAGAGCAGGTGCAAAATTACTGTGGTTGATGCCAGCAGTGTGTGCTGAGCTTCCCTGCTCTCACTGCTCTGCAGCTCAAACTGAAGTATTACAGGGTTTACCTGGTGCAGTGGCAGCATGGCCAGGCCCATTTGCTAAGGGATATCTGAGTTCTGGATCTCAAAGGTGCTCCTTTTCATCACAGGTGGAGAGCAGCTACCAAACCATCACCTAGTCAACACCTTTCTCTAATCAGCTGCACTCTTTCACCTCACAGATCATCTGTGGAGGTGTCCCGAACCAGGAGTCAGAACTCCAGGGGTCTTTGTGGCAAGGAGCTGTCCTGCCCTAACTATGTTGGCTGTCTATCTGTGGTGCAGCCAGGTCATAGGGCAGCTGATGTACTGCTCCTTTCATTGATGCAGTCATCTCTGAGCACCCTCAGTCAAATCTGTCTGGAGTACTGATGCCCAGGTGACAGCCTCAATGAGATAATCTAGGATAGAAATTAATCATTTAGGTTGGAAAAGACCTCCAAGATTATCAGGTCCAACCTTTGACTGATGGTCATTTAATCAACTAGACCATAGTATTAAGAGTGACGTCCAGTCTCTTGACCTCCAAGGATAGTGACTCCGCTATCTCCTTGGGCAGTCCATTCCAATGCTTGACAACACTTTGCATTCCAAAAACCCTTTTTCCCCTCACCATCTCCTGTTTATTGATCAGGGTGTAAACACAAGGTGAGCTTGAATGACCTTGTCTCTTTCTCCAGCAGCGACACAGAGAGCAGGCATGGAATGGCTGTTGCTGTTTGCTATTGTCGTGGCAATCATGGCCTCAATCACAACATTTCTGGCCAAACAGCAGAGGTAAGAATACTTCAGGAGGCAGAAGTTAATGCTTTTATTCTATCTTGTTAAAGATGGGGTGTTCACATGCAGCCCTCCTTGAGTCTTGTATATCTGTGAGTGGGCAGCATGAGCCTGTGAGGAACAGCCAAGAATGGTCACTGGCTGATGTACTGCCCCGAGTGACCTGCTTTTCTCTGTGACTCTGTTTCCATTCAGATGGCTGGGCCAAGATGGTGGCACATGGGGATGAAGCAAGAGCCACACAGCCTTCTGAGCTGTTCTCCTGGTCTTGTCTGTGCTCTGCAGTTGCCAGATAGAGCACAGTAGCCAGAGCAGCTTCCCCTTTCCAAAGCTGACATAGGTCCCTCAAGGCTGGAGGCCTCTATCCCTCTCAGAGGCTTGTTATGCCCTTGAAGAGATACGGGGTGCTGACATGGAGGAGGGCTGGGCTGGTGCAGCAATAGGGCTGGCACAGCCTAGGTCCACAGAAGAATTGCATAGGGAGGATTTCTGGCCTGCAGACCACAAACCAGCTCAGCCTCAGTGAAAATTTCTAGCATTTGGTGCTTTTCCAGGAAGGAAAAGACTGGAACTTCTTACCTTCGTGTGAATGTGTGTGTGCAAGTGCTGAGGTCTCACCTCTAGTGAGGTTCACAGGAAAGGCTATTAGATGGCTCTGGCAGCACAAGACATCCTTGGAACATCAGCTGCTTGCTAACTCACAAGGCTGGGCAGGTGATTCCCGTTGCTTGAATGGATCTGGACATACCTTGCTTTGCATTTGTAATGTGTGCTTAACCCCAAAGCCTTTTTCTTTTCTCTTCCAGCTTGTGGAAGAAGATGGCTTGCATCCCAGACCCTGCTCCCTTTTTCAAACCTCTTTACATGGCTCATAATGGAGATTTTAAGGTACAAATGGGCTGCACAAGTGAGTGGAGTACATGACAAACTAAAAGCCCATCATGCTATCCTGAGCAAGGGATTCTCATTAGGGCAGTAGAAGGACAAATCTATCTCAAAGGAATGCCAAACGTCTCCAGATATAAGAACCAGAGCTTTCCAGTACATGTTCGGTGCCATGAAAATCTTTGTTATACTCTTCATTCTCTGTAAGTGCTGTCTCAATGTGTGAGCTGAGTTCATGTGATTTCTGAAGCCTGGGATCCTGACGGGAGTGTCAGAGAAAACTGCAAAGCCATGCAAAGCTCTAAGAGGAAACTAATTATTTTCAATTACTTCAGTTGGTTCTCCTGCAGTTGCCCATGTCTTATAATAACAGCATCCTCCTATGATATTGGAGGAGTCAGTGATTTTAGAGTTTAATTTTTGCCTCCAAAAGTGTAAGAAATTTGATTATTTCTGTGGAACCTCAAACCTTGTGATGCTAACTTCTCTCTCTCTGCGTTTCTTTTTCTGCAGAAGTGGGTTGGTGCATCCCATATGAAAATGACCTTTGATTTCTTTGAATGGGGAATAGTCCTTCCAGAAGTCCTAGAAGTTTACACCATGCATCCTTCCAACAGCCCCCCACAGGAAGAGCTGCATGAGCTAAGAAAGAATCTGCCTTGCAAGCCCTGTGTGTCTTGCCTGACTGCCCCAAGTCATGGTAGCCAGTCACTGTGGTGCAGTGTGAACAGTAGTGGTGGGACTGAGGACCAGTCATATGGGCACTTGTCAATTGATACAGTGACTGTGGCTGATGAATTTACATCTTGTGACTGCCAGTGCAGCTGTAACCATGTGTACAGGGAACATGACCATACCAACAAGGAAGATGATAGTGCTGGAGAACCTGGTTACCCCAAGGTTAACCTTGATGAGGAAGACAGAAAAATATCCAGTGACTTGCATTTGGCTGATCTGAGTACACAGGACAAAATACTTGCTTCAGGCTCTGTGTCCACAGACCACTTGAGGAGCACAAGTGTCCCAGTCAACCAGCAAGGAGAAAGGGGAGTGGAAGGAGGGGTGGGGAGCATCCTAGAAGCCCTTTGCTTGCAGCCTTATCAGTGGGATTTGGAAAATCCAGGTTCCCTACCTTCCCCTGATGGTGAAAGTGTTTCCTACAGTGAAGGCTCCTATGACTTCTTCCCTCACAATACAAAGCCTGGTGACAGTTATCCTCTGATCTGTGTAGATTTGGACACTATTGACAGTGGCTTTATGGACTCAGACTGTGGAAGTCCAGTTGACTCTGAATTTGGGCAAAACAGTCAGACCATTTGTGGGCCCATCTCTCTTGAGCAGGAGGGGCAAGACTTTACACGGAGCTACGTCAAGCAGTGGGTCTCCTGTCGCTCTGAGAGCCCTATCAGTGGAACACAGACCAACTAGGGACTGGATGAGTGTGGAGCCTTTTCCATAGTGTGCCAGGAGCAAACTGCTAGCAAAATTCAGAAGAGAAACAAAGTTTACTTTGTGTAAGCTATATTGCATAAACTGACACCTGTTAGGTCCACAGAAGTATGCCTGTTTCTATTCCCACTTATCCTATTAATGTCTCAAATGTGTTGTGATTGTTTCTGAGTTTTGTTGGGTTTTGGTTTTTTTTTAGAATCATAGATCAACCCTCCTTTGATGGTAGAAAAATATCAGAAAAAAACAACTGTACTTTGAAAATTATCCTTTATTATCCTTATAGGTATGCAAAATTTTTTGCATTAACCTTATAAAGAGTACAGAACTTTAAGTTATTTTCCCTGGTATTCTCACTTGAATTAAGAGTTTGGCTGCACATGGAACCTTAGAATCATAACCCACACATGCTTGCTATGTTAAAATTTCCCTACCTTTCCAAACAACATGTGATGTTACTTTTCCTTCTACTACCTTTGGCTCTTTAAATTCAGCTGTAGTAGTCTGTTAATTACAGAGGACTCCATATTTGTCCATGGGGATCAAAACTAATTCTTATGAAATTATTGCAGAAATGCATGTACTAGAGGCTAAGCACAACTCAGGTTTCAGAAAGACTTTCCAGGTGGAGTCTGCAAATGAAAATACTTCAAAATATATATCATTCTAAACAAACTCTCACCGCTAGGCTTTTCTATTGAGTCAGACTCTCTCCCTGCACTTTTCAAGCATTTTAATTGACCAGCTTTTAGAATTTTGCCAAAACTATCGAAACATTGTCCTACCTGGATATGCCTGCCCCTTCTGCCTTGGACTTGCTCTGCTGCAGTTAACAGGTCAGTAGCATAAATTTTGAGCAATTTCTGCTAGCTAATAAAGTCAAATATGAAACTGCACTGTAACCTTGAATCTGTTTTTCTCTCTGACATCTCCACATCTCTGATTTGTTCAGGATAATTGTCTTAAAAAGTCACTGAAAAGTAATACTGAAATTGAATGTGAAAACCTTCATCTTACGTAAGCATACTGCTACTAACCCATAGACTGCTTGGCTCCAGAAGGTCATATTTTGAGAGAATCTTTGAATGATGCATGTTTCCAGTGTAGTAATAATCTGTTGTTGCTGTGATACCAATAAACTCCCTTCCCTCAGCCCCTTCTCTTACCTGAGACTATAGGCAACCTCACAGCTCCCTAAACAGGAGCTCCCTCACAGCTCCCTCTCCTCTCTCAGTGGAGAGAGCACTGTAGTAAAGAGAAGCTGATTTTTTCATAGGTGAGTGCTGGGACAGTACTGCATTGCATCCACATTCTCTGGTTTGATTGTTCAGATCCACTATGGTATTTGCTGTGTTGATTTTGGACCTACATGACTTAGTTTTGTCCGTGTTGTTATTGCTCCCCCTGTACAACTCTAGCTCAATGGCTTCCTGGGTACTGCTCTAAGATATATTAGCTTCTTTGGTTTCTTCCCTCCTTATTTTCCATTTTTCTTGTCATATGCTGTGATAAGTCATGGGAAGTGTTGTCTTCATGTGCTGATGCATGCTCCCTGCTGCTATTGGTCCCTCACATGCCCTCCACAAGGCAGCACAGAATCTCCCCAGCTCTTCTGCCCTGATGAGCTGACTGCCCCACGCTGTCCTATGAGAGCTGCTTGTGAGAGATCACACTGTGATCATGTTGATGCAAATGTGTACTGGACAGAAGCATTTCTGATGGTCTCAGCACAGTCTTCTGCAGCTTCATCTCACAGGTCTTTTCACTTCAGAAACTACACTGTGGTAACTGACCCCAGGCTGCTTAAGGGAGAAACTTCTTGTTTTTCTGGGGCCCTTTACATCTCAGTCCTGTGTGCTCCAGTTCCATTTGTGTTGATGGTCCCAGGACTGCTGAAGGAGCTGTTTCTGTTACTGGAACACTATTTGGTTGTACATCTGATAGATGGTGGTGGTTTGGTGTCATGCTGTGCTGGAAGTTATCTCTGCTCACCCTAGGAGTCAGACTTCATGAACAAGTGTGTGACACAAGGGTATTAAAATAAGGGAAGTTTTTCCCTTTGAACCAAGCTATAACAAATAGGCTTTTGGTCAGTGAGTTGTCACTGTGGATGTGGAGGGGTTTGAGGGGGGGATTTTCAGTGCCTCTTAGGAGCAAACTGCAAATGTCCCTGACCTAGCAGTTCTGATTTGGAATTTTTTTTCCCCCAGGAAGAATGGGGTCAAAAAGCAGGTACTTTCTGGTGTACCAATTTGGAAATGTCCATCTCCATTTCTGCATGACCCCTGCCTCCCTGTCTCTTGGCCCCAGAAGCTGATACTGACAGACTGTTAGTCTGTTCTTTGACTGCTTCTCTCTCTTTCTTCTCTAGCACTAGACCCATGTACAGGACTGACTTGATGGATCCTGGCTATAACACTGCCATTGCATCATTGCTGCTGGGCATGGGAAGAACTGCTCCTTATATGGTCTAGGATCAGGACAAGGAAGCACTGCAGTGGTTGTTTGCCTTTGCTTCCAGAGCTGCCCTTTGAGCACAGCACAGCAATCGGCTGTGGAAGTACAGGACAGGGCAGCTCAGGGGTGCCACGGGGGTCTGAGCACAGCTGGGCACAGGTCCTGGGTGGAAACAGTTTAGCCCCATACCCACACGGCTACGAAATGGCTTTAGGTTACTTAGAAAGTTATTTTGTTGACCTATTTATATAAAAGTTGCAAGCAGATACTTTTCTATTCAGCAATTACTTGGCCTTTTAAATATTAACCCTTTAGCAGAAATTCCTGTTTCTCCATGACTAACTGAGAAATTACATATATAGCTACTTTAACTCAATCTGATAATCAGAGCAGTTTTTCATTGGTTCTTGAGATAATCTTTAAAATCAGGCACAGTAAGCTCTGTTTTATTATGCCACTGCTGCTACTGCTTGATCATCAAACCACACAGCTTAAACTATCAAGGGACAGAAGCAGGATGAAAAGTGACATTTCTTTTTTGCTGGTAAGACAGTTTACCATATTTTTGTTCTATGCATTCCCGTATGTATGTTAGGGGACATCTACTGAACAAAATATTGAAAAATATTTTCTTTATCTAAATGTGCAATTCTATACTGTTTCTTGAACTAGGAGCCTGAAGAACAGAAGTGTCTTTGTACTTTTGTTCTGACAGTTTGCTGAGCACAAAACACCACTATTGCAATAATTCTGATGGATTTTGCTTGAAAGAAGGGCCATCTTGAACAAGGTACTCCTCTCTGACTGCAAGAGATGAATGTAAAGGAATCCAGCAAAAATAGTCCTCAGTGTTTGGGACTTTGCAGACGTGAACATACTTTTTTAATGTATGTGTATATATATTTGTGTGTGTATGTATGAATATTGCTTTATTGCAGTCATCCTTTGTAGCAGCTTTCTTTCTGGGATCCAAGTATATCACATCTAAAAGTACGTGGCTGGTTTTGGGCATCAAATTGTTGGGAAAATGGCTCTCCAAAGATTAAGAGAGAAAAAGGCTTTTTATATGGGTTCTCTCGGATAATCTATGCAGATAAGAAAATCCAACTACTTTTTCCTTATTCCCCAGGACAAGTCTCATGTGAGCCTGTTGAGCACATTCAATGTATTTCTGCAAGACGTGTGCTTAGAGGCCTAGATATTCAGAAGGTAGATAAGGTATCACTAATTTTTCTTAAAGGACCTGCCTTTTCTTATAGGCAGGGATGATAGTTTGCAATGTGTACCCCTCCTACTACACACACTAGCATGACAGATTGCTCTGGAGACTCTGCACTTTGGGTAATCTTTGTGGATGAAGGAGTGTACCTGTTGGTACGGACACTGTTTTACTTTGTAGGTGCTAGTCAGTGTCCTATCTTTCTTTAGTGCCTGTTGCTTAGGCCTCTGGAAGAGACCTAAGCAAAGGAAGGGATTATGGCCAAGGGAGAGCAGGTCATTTATGATTAATTGCTAAGATGTAAGGAATGGAAACTGAGCATTCAAGGGTCCAGATCTGCTGTGTCTCCTCCCACTGTGCACCACTCACCATATCATAGAATTCTGGAATAGCTTCAGTTGGAAGGGATCTTCAAACCCTCTGCCTTGGGCAGCAACATTTTCCACCAGACCAGGTTGCTCCAAGCTCCACCCAACCTGAGCTGGAACACCTTCAGGGATGGGGTAGGAATGTCTTTTCTGGACAACTTGTGCTAGTGTCTCATTGATCTCACAGGGAAAAATTTCTGTACCCCACGTAACCCTGGCCTCTACTGGTTGGAAGTTATTCCCCCTTGCCTCATCCCTACATGCCCATCTCCAGCTTTCTTGTAGCTCTTTTATGTACTTAGGGACTCTAAGATCTCCCTGGAGCCTTCTCTTCTTCAAGCTGAACAAATCCAGCTATTATCCTGTCTCCATAGCAGAGGGACTCCCATTCTCTGATCGTCTCTGCAGCCTCCTCTAGACCTGCTCTAGTAACTCCATGCCGTTTTCATGTTGAGGACCCCAGAACTGGACACAGTACTGCAAGTGGGGATCTCACAAAAGCAGAGTAGAGAGGTAGAATCCTCTCCCTTAACCTGCTGGTCATGCTGCTTTTGATGCAGCCCAGGATACAATGGGCTTTCTGGGCTGCCAACATGCATTGTTAGACCTTGTCAAGTATCTTGTGAACATCAGAATCTTGTTCTGGGAGTGATAACAAGTAAAACACCTTTTGAAAGAGTCTGAAGCGACTGCCAAATCAGAGCCTGAAGCTTCTGACTTCCTCTAAGATTTAGGTGAGCATACAAGATCATGTGAATGAGCTGCAACAAGAAAAAAATTCATTAATTAAGCAACATACCTTATAAAAAAGTTGATGTCAGAAGTGGAATAAAACCCAGAACTCCCAGCTGTCTTCTGTGGGCTGGCATATAATATCATATGTATCAAAGGATACCCAAGCATATTGAAGAATCTTATGTACATATCTCCATGCAAAATCCTTGCTCATGCTCTTATATGATACTCCATGTTTTATCAGGCTTTTGTAAAGCTGATTGTACTTGCAGCCATCCAAAAGTCAGAGACACAAAAATCCTATTTTATGTCCATTTCTTTGAGTTCTTTGCATTTCTTCTATCTCTTTTCTCTATCTCGTCAAGCTTCTTGTTCCCACTTTTAAAGTCACTGACAGCGTCTTCTTGTCATCTCTCACTTCCCTATCTAGAAGTTAACTCTATGATGTCAGCTTCTACCTCCTACTAGGTCATTAAATCTACTTCTCCTAATCATCCTCCATGCTACTGCTTACACATTGGAAGTACTGCTTACAATTCTCTTGGGTTACATCAGCCTCATTCTTCAGGTCTCCCTCTAAAGCTCTGCTTTGCAGAATTTCTGAAACTAGATGATATCTAAGCTACCCACATGCTGAGACTATGTTTTCAACTGCTTGCACTACTTCCTCTCTCAGTGGTGTCTGTCAAATAATTTATTTTACCTTATACATTCTTATGAGAAAACGTTATATTTTTATTGTGTGTTCAACTGGACCCCAAATCCGGGGTAAATCCCAGAATATTAGTTTCTGGTGACAGATTTAGCAATAACAGTCAGTTATCTGTTTTTCTGTTAATAAGCAGTTGAGATCATTTGGAAAAATCTGTATTGTACAAATTCTGGTTAAAATTACTTAAAATTACTTTTGGGAAGTGGAGAGAGGAACCACAGGAGGGAAGGGGAAAGGCGCAGATACAAGGTCTAATTTCCTTGAGCAGATAACAGGCAGAATTCTGCTCTGAAAACATACACAAAGGATGGAAACACCATTGCAATCAGCTTGAGACCACTTTGGAAATCAAGGTCACTACCACCTCCTGGTGCTGATAGACTGCTGGCAGCATACCTGATGTATCATTTC